TGGGCTGCTGCTCTGGCTCCAGGCTCACACCCGTGATGCCCGGGACCCAGCCACAGCCTGCAGCCATAGGGACACCTGAAGCCAGGTCCTCATACATTACCGCCTCCCCAGGAAGGGCGAAGGAGATGGGAAAGAGGCGGTCGATCCTTAAGCCGCTCTGCACTGCTCAGCAGCACATGTGCTGAGTGGACCGTATGCGGTGGCTTACAACCAGAGGTCACAGCCAAGGGCAGGCCAGTCGAAAGGTCAGCGCAAGCTGTTTCTTTAGTCAAAGCAGACTGAGCTTTCCTGTCGTGCAGAGGAAGATCATTCAGAGCAGATACAGGGCTTCTGACTGCCATTAAATGGCTGCATTTTGTGACGTTTATTTCTGCCAGAGTAACAAAACGTGCTACTACTAATTTGCAGAACCAATAAGTAGGCCCACGCAGAATCTGCGCACGCAGAATTCCGCAGATTTTCCACAGATTTTCCGCAGAATTCCGCAGATTTCTGCAGATTTTTAGCCCATCATTAATTCTGTTTATTTACTTGAGTAAATGTGTAAATCTGAATTTGTTCAGTTTTTATTCAGTAATTTGTTACTTTTTATTTAATATTTTAAGGTTTTGGTTATGAAACTCCGCTGGATACTCCCAAAATTATTCCGCAGAAATCCGCAGATTTTTACCAAAATTCTCCGCAGAAATAGCAAAAAACGTCTGCAGATTCCGTCTGGCCCTACCAATAAGTGATGATATTCTATTGGATGTGAAAAACATCACCAGACACACCAAAAGCAGGATCAAACATTTTTTTTTTTTTTTACTGAACATGGTATAGACCATTTGCCGACCATTTACAGCAAATGATACAGCCTGACAACCATACAGTGCTGTGAAATCCATGGAGAAACATTTCAATTTGTTACAGAGATCAGGTTAGAAGGTATATTGTCCTACTAATCAGTAAAAGCTATAATGGTTTAACTGAAGAAACACAATAAAAAGGGACTCAAAAATGAAAAGAATATATTTTAGAAATGCTAATTGATAATATCCATTGACTTTCTTAGTAGCAAAAAAAAAAACACTAAAATCAATGTATACCATCAACCAGCACTCCTTAAAATGTTGTCTTCAGTGTTCAACAGAAGAAAGAATTTCTAATAGGTTTTGAACAAGTGAAGAGTGAGTAAATGATGACAGAGATTGAATTTTTGGCTAAACTATCTAAACAACTATTTAATTGTATTCATCATTAATGTACTAAAATCATTCATTTATTCATTTTTTTGTCGGCTTAGTCCCTTTATTAATCTGGGGTCGCCACAGCGGAACTTATCCAGCAAGCGCAAACTTATCCAGCAAATTTTTACGCAGCGGATGCCCATCCCTGGGAAATGTACTAAAATCATTAAAATAATAATGTATTTTTGATCACTTTATGTATTTTTTTTTTATTAGTTTTTGTATTAAGTCCACAGTTTTAAATTTTGTATTAGTCCACTGTACTATTTATATTTGTTTTTTATAACAAAAACCAAAATGTTTTTACATGGTAGCATGGTCATAAAACCCTATTTGTGGTTACTGTAATCTACAAATGTATAAGATGATGCTGTTAAAATAAAAATAATTATACTTCTGGATCCAACTCACGCTCCTTCTATTCTCAAATGTGCAAAGTGACAAAATTTGCGATAATAATAATTTTACATGTGCAGCATTACCAAATCAGGTGCTGGTGCCACCATCTGCAAAACTCAGAGGCGCCGGTGCCAGTGCTCAAATTTGATTATATCCCTAAATGGCAGTGATTTGGCTGCTTATTAAACCTTTGACGAGAACAATCCCAGAGGAACATTCAAATCTGCATTTGTGCTGCCACTGATCCAGAGAGAGCTGTTATCATTTATAGTTATGAAACAGCTTCAGTCTTTAATCTTTTTAACCACACAGTAATATAAGTGTACTACGAAAATACTAGAATAAAAGGTCAAAGTTGGGATATAACCACTGTTTATATGATAGCTATTAAAATACGGTAAATCATGTTGTGTATAAGTTCACATTTTAAAGTTGTATCAAGTGCCATTATGCCATTACAGTTGAGGTCAGAATTATTAGCCTCCTTTTTATTTTTTTTATTCTATTTCCAATATTTCGCAAATTATGTTTTAACAGAGCGAGGGCATTTTCACAGTATGTCTAATATTATTTTTTTCTTCTGAAGAAAGTCTTATCTGTTTTATTTCAGTTAGAATAAAAGCAGTTTTTAATAAAAAAAAATTATATATATATATATATATATATATATATATATATATATATATATATTTTAAGGTCAAAATTATTTGCCCTTTAAAGCTATATTTTTTTCGATAGTCTACAGAACAAATCATCGTTATACAATAGCATGCCTATTACTCTAACCTGCCTAGTTAACCTATTGTAATTAACCTAGTTAAGCTTTTAAATGTCACTTTAAGCTGAATAGAAGTATCTTTAAAAATATTGAGTAAAATATTTTTTTACAGTCATCATGGCAACGATAAAATAAATCAGTTATTAGAAACGAGTTATTAAAACTATTATGTTTGAATCTTGAAAAAAAAATCTTCCCTCTATTAAACAGAAATGAGGGAAAAAATAAACAGGGGGGCTAAAAATTCTGACTTAATAATCTGTTAAAAATAATAATCTATTTTTATATAGGAAACAAGTATACGAAATTCATCTTATTTTGTTTAGCTGACTCCTGTGAGATTAATATATTATCTCAATTCATATACTGTATAATTCTCAATATTTCCAGAATTGTGCAGCAATAGATGATAAATATCTTGATGCTGCTTTAAGAAATCATTCTGATACAGTTGCTATGGCACTCTGAGAACTGCAGCGTCTCCATTAAATTTCTGATGGCCATTAAAGTTTAATACCCTTTAATGAATGTCAGAAGTTAAATGGAGATTATCGACATACTGAATAAAGTTCTTGCACATTTCAAACTCAAACTACAAAGACGCAAAGTTTGTGTTTACAAGCGCGTCGGTAGGGTAACACACTGACTACTCTCATCCTCCTAAATTCAGTTCTTGATGACCCAGACAGACCCCAAGGCTTTTATAGGTAGTGACAAATAGAGAAACAGGAATACATTCAGCTGACGTGTGTCTAGCCAGATAATTCTCAGTTGTAAGTCCCTCTCACATGCTCTTATTTAATTATAATTTTGCACAGGCTTTTTTGCCCCAGCCATTCTGCAACACTGGCTGTTCACTTTAAATGTGATTTATCCAATATTAACTCTGAAATCTTATCCACGTGTCAGAAAGTGAGCTGTTTTTTTCATGTGGCGGAAAGGCTTGTGCCAACTTGGATACTAATCCACAGGCCAATGATTTGGAAATCATCATCACTACATATTAAGAAGCCGCCTAATAAAGCTAAAACTGAGGAGCCTAAGAACCTGATAGAAGGTTTTATTTGGCAAGTGAAATGGAAACCTATTTACGGCTTGCAACAGACGCAGTTGTGTGTGCATGCGAGTTAAATGAGCGGCTAATATTTAGATACACGTCTTAACTGATGTTTTTTTTTTTTCTGTTTGCCTAACATGTTCCCATATCCTCTGGTAACTTATTTAGAATCAAAAGTGTGGCACAGCGGTGGGACAGAAGGCAGCCAGAGGTTTCTGGTTTTGGAGCTGCCTCTTATGGGGTGACCCCGCTGGGACGTCGTGCATTCCGCTGGGTTAGAGAGCTGATCCAAAAACCACAGATAATAGAGAGGGAAGTCAGCATGGACTCAAATCAACTGAATATATGCATGTTGATGCATATTCATAACTCTGCCCTTTATGGTGATAAAAGCAGCTCATTTATACGCCTTTTATCGAATAAAAAAAACCCTTCGAGATGTTCCCAGAGGAAGGGAAAAAGGTCTGCATTGCCCACACAAGCAAACTATGGCTCAAACATTATCTGCTGGGCTCAAGATTCTGCATCCTGCCTCCAGGTCTCACGGGAGAATGCTGGAATCTCCAGCTCAATGATAGGGTTCCAATAAACAATGAATCACGCTGCTCTGAGCAAGCGTGAAAGAGAGCCGTGGCACAAAAAGAAAACCGTGTGTGATTTAATGGACATGGTGCAGAAGTATGGCACATTCCATAAGGCTGATCTGAAAAATATTTAGAAGAGAACTGCTAAAGTGTCTTCACACTCTGGGAAAAAAAAGAGAATAGGCCCGGGACAAGAGCGATTGAACAAGTAATGAGTATAACGCGTCAAAAGAAGAGTCAATGACGTCCCCTAAAAACAACTTTCCAGTAAGTATTGCACAGATGTGTCATTAAATATGTCATTCAGTGGTTTTGTTGTGACTTGTTTTGGTTTGAGTGGATGACAGCCTCAACTAATCTCAAACATTGAACTTAACAACCTTGAATTTAATTAATAATATCTAAATAATTCTTAGAAATTATGTATTTTTTATTATTTAGCATATCCTACACTTTTTCTACCATATTCTGAGACGAAGTATTTAAAATAATAAACAAATAACCCTCACTTCAGAAAAAAAACATACAGACGGATAAGATTATATATTGGTAGCCTTGTAAAAGTCCAGCCTCCACTTGTTAAGTAGCATTTGTGGTTAACTTTGAGACTGAACAATGCATCCTTTGCCAGCTGCATCTGACTCAAATAAGACACTTAAGAGCAGGGCGTTTCACTTTAAATTCAGCTAACGTGAAATTAAACGTCAAATTAAACACTTTACAGCATCTGCACAGCTAGTGCAACTCCTATTTGCGACAACTTGTTTTCACACCATATAAATCATATTGTACATGTAGAGTATGGCGGCAGGCACTTAACATTAGACGTCAACTGACCATATGGCACTGTATCATGTTTACTTTATCAGATTTAACACAAAAAAAGTAAGGCTCTGTATAATTAAAACAGACACAGCGTTGTTTGACAGGAAGAGAAGAAGAGTCGAGCTTACCCTAACAAACGAAGCGGCGCAATCCTCAGTCCTGGACCCAAAATATCCAGCTTATTTACGTTCTTTCTTCCTTGGCTTTCAATGCCTTCTCTCGACTTGGAGCTTCCTGGTGCTTTCTCTTCCTCGGGTAAAATGCCCTGTTCGAGGGGGAAGGGAAGAGAGGAAAAGTGTTTCGCTCAGTGATTCAGAAGCATGGTGTAAACGCCAGCCTTCCCTTTCTGACAACCAGCGTTAATTGCAGATCAGACTCGCCCACACACTCCAGACTCTCTCTATTCACTCTCTCCTGGAAGGAGCTGAGAGCAGGCTGTGAGATTGGAGTGCTATGAACAGCACAGTGGGAGATGCTCTAACCCCCACCCCGTGCAACACCAATCACCACCTCTGGAGCTCGACTTCACCACGGCTGACTTTATTTCACAAGAACGGCACAGGCACAGACAGACGCCCCTGGGACGATGCATACTGACAGTGAGGTGCAAGTGCGCCGTTTAGCATACGCTATAAATCTGATGTGTTATACCTGATGAAGTGTAAACTACAGTCTACAGCAAGCCTGGGGAAGAAATATTAAAAAAGCGGCCCTCAGAAAACTTCTGAGCAATTCCAGCATTATAGATGTGACATTTGCAGTAAAAACTCTAAACATATATTCACATAGAAAGTATTTTTGTTAATTTTATATTGAAGCAACTGTTAATATTTTCCAAAAGAACCAACCACAGAGTTATGAGATCAGAAAAATATGAATCTGTAAACATTTTTTGTAATTTAAATGAGGAAAATAAACATGCATAATGGATGTGACCAAAAAAGTTTGCGAGTTTACAGTATATAGCATACTTTGTAGAAATTTGCGAATTAAACTGCACAACCCAAAAGAAATAATGCTAATCAAAAGGAAAAGCTCACTACCGTACAAAAAATGTTGATTTTATTTTGTTTGACATTTTTTGCATTAATGAGGGAAAAGCTTCGTTATGGATGTGTTATCTCTCCATTATGAAAATTCGCACTTGTGTGACTTTGGTAAGTCAAATATAATAGCTTAAAAACACTGAAAGAGACATTTTTCTATATTTTTAAGTACTGTAAAATGCTTGCAGTCACAAAAAAAATTAAGAACCAGTTTGTCTATTTTGGTGAAAATAATTTTTTCATGGCACGGTTGATATTTGCATGGAATTGCATTCAAAAAAGTTAGCAAGTTTTCAGTATACAGCATACTTTGTAGAAATTCTGTGAATTACACAGCACAACCCAAAAGAAACAATGCTAATCAAAAGGATAAGAGCCGGCTCACTACAGAACAAAAATTGATTTTATTTTATTTGACATTTTTCCATTAACGAGGGAAAAGCTCCGTTATGATTGAGATACTTTTTCGTTATGAAAATTAGCACTTGTGTGACTTTAGTAAGTCTAAAATAATAGTTTGAAAACACAGAGACATTTTTCAATATTTTTAAAGTACTGTAAAATACTTGCTGTCACAAAAAATTGTAGAAACGGTTTCTATATTTTGGTAAAAACTGAAAACCCAAACCCAAAAGAATTAATGCTAATCAAAAAGATAAGAGTCAGCTCACTACTGTATATAACAAAAATCGTTGATTTTATTTCATTAGACATTTTTGCATTAATAGAGGGAAAAACTTTGTAGAATGTAGAAACGGTTTCTCTATTTTGGTGAAAACTTTTTTTTTTATGGCAAGGTTGATATTTGAAGGGAATAGCTCTTGTACAGCTCAAGTGTGCTCAGATCAAAAGCTGTACAACACGCAAAGTCAGTTAGACGGATGATTAAAGTCCAGTGTTGACAGTAAAAAATGCTGGGTTCCACACAATTCCCAACACAAATCAATTAAGTAAACTTTTTCCACTTTAAAGTGGAACATAGAACTATTAAGTTGTTCCTAAAAAAACTCAAGAATTGTGTGGATTAAGCTTATTTTAAACAAGTAGTTTAAAACAAGCAGCAAAAATCTTTGATTAAGTGATGTTGAGTTTATCCTGGAAGTCCTATTCGATAATGATTATCTTCAATGCTTTTAGCAGTGACTGTGCTTAAAAAATGAAGTGATTAAAGGAACATAAAATGTCAAATATATATATATATATATATATATATATATATATATATATATATATATATATATATATATATATATATATATATATATATATATATGAGAAATAAGTATATATTTTTGTAAAACAAGCAATACAACTAGTGCAGTGAGTAAACGAAATAACACATCTTAAACAAAAGATGCTTTATTAACAGAGCACAGCAGGACACCATGCAGCTTCAAGTGTGATGTTGTGCTTTATCAGATTTGAAGAGGGCCATGTCGGGTGAACAGCATTCAGAATATTAAAAGAATTCCTTCGCTGACTAATTCATTGTCGAGTGTGTAAACAGAAAGATATTGAGTTTCAGTGTGGTGTTTTCAGTGCTGACTTTGCACCCATGTTTAGTTTGGGCTTATTAAACTATAATGAAGTCGCACCGAAGGCTAGATGGAAAAAGTGTGATGGCATTATACACTTGACTGGGATATTAATTCTTTATAATGCATCGGCGGAGGGCAGCAAAACAAATTTAATTAAAACATATTTTAACATAGTTTGCAGCTCTTCAGTGCTATACTTACAGTTCATGGGCTGATATCTCAGTCAGAGAGCAGAGAGATCAAACGGTTAAATAGAACTAATGCTGGCAGCAAGGCAGAATAAAAGCCTGTCCTTCAGACATATACTTCTTATTCACTTATGGTTTTATATAAAACTTGTGTCGTTTTTTATTATTAATTTATTTTTTTCATACCTGCCAATGGCCGGCAACTTGAGAAAATCTACTGGCCATGAATATTTTTATCCACCATGAAATTACATGTGCTTTATTGTTTTATTAAAAACAAGTAGGTCAAATTGGAGTGACATGTCTATTTGCATGAGTAATAGCAGCATTATATTGCAGCGTTATATATAAGGTGTGATATTTGCAGTAAAATCTTAAAACACAGAATTCACAGAGAAAGTATATGTTAACATTGTCTTGAATCATCTGTTTATATTTTCAAAAAAACAACTAACCACATAGTTATAGGAGCAGAAAAAAATATCAATCTGTAAACATTTTTAGATTTTAAATGAGGAACATGTGTTATGGATGTGACGGAAAAAGTTTACTGTATATAACTTTACTTTGTAGAAATTCTGTGAATTAAACTGCCTAACCCAAAACAACCCAAAATAATTAACGCTAATCGAAAGGAAAAGAGTCGGCTCACTATAGAACAAAAACAAATCATTTTATTTATTTATTTATTTATTTGCATTTATGAGGAAAAAGATCCATGATGGATGTGACAGATGTGAAATTGGCACTTGTGTGATTTTAGTAAATCAATTATAATAGTTAAAACATTAACAGAGACATTTTTGAGTATTTTTAAAGCATGTAAAATACTTGCTTGCACAAAAAACGCAGAAACAGTTTCGATATTTTGGCGAAAACTTAATTTTTTTCATGGCAAGGTTGACATTTCCATAGAATTGCTCCACTATAAATAAATAAATATAAATAATTATATTATGGAATTATAAAGCATTTAATATTACTACTTTTTATTGTATATAAGAATTATTAAATTTTTGGTATTAATATTACTATTATTATTATTATATAAAATACTCTTTTGTTGACAGCTGTAAACCCTTCTAATACAACGTATAAAGATGTTTGCCTCGCTGTAAATGATGCAGCGCATTAAATATTTATAGAATAGAGAATATGCATATTAATTTTGTTTCAATACAGCAGTTATACCACACCACGTTACAAGACACTGCTATTTATTTATAGTTACCGGCCAACTGGTAAGTGATGCAGTTTCATAAACGAATTGACGCTGATTTCTAACTCACATTTGCCTCTTGACAAGCATCTTTTTTCAGTCCTGCCACATTACATATTTTAATTTAACTTTAGAGTCTTTGACTACTATGGATTTATTGTTTGATATAATGTATTGTACTTATTATGTTGCTATATTGCAAACATTACTTTTTTTGCAGATGGGATAATTACAACAGTGTAATTACAGATGTAAATACAGAAATTAATTATCTGTGTTACTGTATTTCATGTCTTTATAACAAATACAATGTGCTCAAATTCAAAACAAACACTAATACATATGTTCATTTTAGAACAAAACACTTGCTTTTCTATAAAACAATCTTTCGGTGCATCTTTAAAATTTTAAATATTTATCACTGAATTAACGGCAAGGGGCTATGTCCACTGATTTTAAGCTTCTTAAAAGCCAGCAAACAATCAGCAGACAAACATTCCTCCTGAGGTCATTTTCATGATTATGTACCGTGACCTGATTGTCTATCTCGTGTGCCTCGTAATTACAATGCCTTTCAGACACAAGCAATGAGCAATACTATGAACGCATTTAGCCTCTGACATTAGGACAACAGGTCAAGACATTGTGTCTTGCTTTTGTATTGATTTGATCAATTTTATATCTTTATCAATATGAATTATTTATAATAACTCACCTAACACATTTTTTCTGAAGGTCAAAATGACATCTTGTAATGTAGCGTTTAAGGAAAGCCTAAGGCACTTTGCTGATAACTAAATGGCGGGCTACAGAGCCATTAACAGAGGCATGTGTAATCTTACAAGCACAAGTACTACACTCTCTGCATGTGGATGATTAGGTTGTTCCCTCACTGTGCATGTCCAAGTCAGCAGCTCTTGCAGAAAGAACACACAGCACAACAAAAAAAAAAAAGGATTTACAGTGAAACGATTGTGGCACAAAGGTAATGCATTTAAAGCACTGTTTGTTAATTAAATTTATTTTTTCCTGCTATAGTTTGTACTAAACTATTAAAGCTGGTTTGAATTAAGCCTTTATGAAGGTGCTGAGAATAACATCAAATCAGTTTTGCTTCAAACTATTCAGAATAAGAACTTTAGCTTACATTTGTTTGTTTGTTTGTTTGTTTGTTTAGAGAGAAGTCAAAACTGGGCATTTTATGACCCTAATGCTAATTAAATCAAATCCAATAATACTACAAATAAATTAAAATGAACTAAAAATTTTAATTGAATAACACTGCTGTAGTTTAATGGCCTTGCAGATGAGTCACAATGATGTACCACACAATATCTAGACCTCTCACTTGTTTGTAACAGAACCGCGTGACCCCACAAATAGCATTAAATCACAATTGAAAAGCTATTATAATATAATTGATGGGATCAATTTACACTTGTCTCAGTTTATTCACTAACATATAGTGTGACTCCAATAAATCTGAGACGGTTCACCAATGTGACACTTATTGCTGTTATGTCAACTAAACAAAACTTCTTAACAGACCAGCACCATCTCCATATCAGACAGAAAAATGTCCGAAATTACTTTAAAGTTAGTTTTAATAGATAAAAGACAAAGATATACGATAGATTGATAAAGTGATCGGACGTGCTTTAGTTACGGAGGCAATGCCCTACATTTCAACCCTGCAAACAGTGCGTGTTTAATGTGTATTAAAATGTAAAACATTTACTCATCACAAATTGCATCCTCTGACGTCTACGAAAATTGCGCTACCACTTCTAGTTGTCAGAACTAGTTTTGGTGCTTTAAACAACTGTGCTGTCCAAAAATCAAAGTTAGAATGAATTACATATATACAACGTGCTACTTTAACCAGACTGTCAACATGTTCAAAAGCAACACAATGAAACATTAGAATCAACAAAAATTCAATCGCATAAGTTCTGAAGGTAAACTAGCTCTATTCTCAAGTTGTGAACTTCTGCAGGTGACCCTTTCAGCCAATGAATCCTGAATATCCCTGAGTGAAAGCTTAACGGTTTCCAAAGTTAAGTATACACAAAATTTCTTTACTTTAGCGCCATTATAAGCTATCGGTCTTTTTTCAATAGCTCCTCCAAAGACATTTAACAACGCCCGGGAAACAATGATGAGAGACTCGGCGCAACATTTGCCAAGTGTCAAAGTGAACTGAACCACGCACGAGCTCTTCTACAGAGAATTACGAGCACGATAAACAGTGTTGTCCTTCAGTCTGAAGGCACGACTCGGGACAAAACACTTCGAGCTTGTTGCCGACCATTGAGACACGCACATGACAAACATGTTTAAGCTTCCCAAACGAATTGTAACGCGTTTAATTTGCGCTCATCCAATCTCACTCCACGACTCCCTCCTCTCTTCTCTCTCCCTCTCTCTGAGTCCGCTGCTGTGTAACATTGTTACTATTTTTGCGACTCACCTTTTTTCTCCGTGGTCCCCCTCGCTGTATATAGATACTGTGTATCAGTGACTCCCGTGGATACACTGTGACATAAATGTATTTTCAGTCACATTGACACACGGCTTCTATTTTCGGGAGCTGAGCTGACAAACTCAGAAGAAGCAGCAGTCGCTCTTGTCACAACATAAGCTCCTCCTCTAAATGACGATAACTAGACGGAGTCAACCTCATACGGCAAGCCGTTTTAACATATGTTATATAGGCCACTGTTACTTGTGTGTTACAATTAATAAGATCTGAAATTACCAGTTTTTTTTTTAAGTTTTACTTGTAACTGCTCTGTTGTCACAAATAAGCCTCCTAGTGGTTTTAAAATATCCCTACTGACAGTCTGTGTAAAATTAAGATTTACAATGTTTGTTTGCCGGTGCACATTGTAAGTCATTTTGCTGGTTTATAGCCTACTTCTGCGTTGGGTGATCGGCGTGACCCATGGTGCCTGCCCTGCACGTAGCTGTGCATTTATACTTCATTGTGCTGTTTGTGTTGCTCTACAATAACATCTGCGAAAAGTTAACTGGCAGTAAGTTTTTATGTTCCTCTGTGTTGAGTTTTTTCAGGAGTATTTTGTTTTTTTCTGAACGAAGAAGCTAAAACTTGCTCATTTAGAGGCTCAAACTAGCGTGCAACAACTTTAATCATAAGGTGAACACAAAACAAACATTTCCATCTGGAGCACCTTCACGGGACTTCACACTTGTAAACAGCTCTATCGGTCTTGCGGCTCTCAGCACTGCCCACGCTCATCATTGCTACCAAAACGACCAATCACAGAGCTTGTGCTAAGAGTCATTGCAACGTGTAGTTACATTTTTTGAGAGGTGTGCTTCAGCGTCGGCCACAGCGAGGGTTATGTGACTTTGTGAAGGCTGCACCGGACCATACGCAGATTGAAGTAGAAGTATAAATTAGCCTTTAAGGTGAACAATGAATCAGTGCAAGTTAAATCATTAAACAAAAATTGTTTGATAATCTTCAGTGAAAGTCTGACCATCTGATTCCAAGTTTGGAGTGGCAGTCCTTTTCAATTTAATGGCCACACCCCTCTTACCATTAGTTTGCTACAAGCCACACCTCCTACTCAACATTTAGTTTCAGGTGGAAGTATCAAGTATTGTTTCAGTATCAACATTCTGAAATAAAGGTCTCAGTAACTTACAGTTTACTTTAATTACTAGTGCATTCAAATGACTAGAATGTATTTCAGCTCTATTGTTGCATTATGAATAGGGCCAGACGGAATTTGCGGACATTTTTTGCTATTTCTGCGGAGAATTTTGGTAAAAATAAGCGGATTTCTGAAGAATTATTTTGGGAGTATCATTTACTCTAGTAAATAAACAAAATTAACGATGGGCTAAAAAATCTGCAGAAAAATCCTAATTATGGGCCTAATTATGACATACTAGAACCTATTTTTGAAATACTCTCACATTATAAATAAATCACTTTTCTTTTCTTTAGTCTTAGTCCCTTTTAGACCAAGTTTACAGAGCATGATTTTCATATTGCTCGGATTGCTTTTGTTTTCATACTGCATGACTATCCAGGGTAGCATTCAGGTGCTGCTGTGTTCATACTGATGGTTCTGTGACAAGAGAATACTGCATGGTGACAAATAATCGCAGACAACTCTGGCTAACAAATGTACATGTGAAGTGATAAAATCCCTCAAGATCATGTACAAGATTGTAAATGGTACCCTGCAAAAAAAATAAAAAATTTAAATAGGCAAATAGACCATTCAAATCTATGTAAATACCGATTTACAATAACATTTTAAGCAAAAAACAAAAAAGAAAAGAGTTGAAGGTCAATAAATAATTTAGCAAAGTAATGCTTCTGCGACTGATCAAGCAAATGTTTCTTTTTTTGTTCGTGTACCCGAACTCTCCGCTGTCCTGTATACTGTTCACTCATTGGCTGATGGTCATCGCTCATGTGTTTTTCAGTCAGAAAACATTTACACAGCTTGATTTTGAATCACCAACAGGTCCTGATATGTTTAGCATGGCAAATATTTCACAGGCATCTGCGATTCTCTCTGATAGCAAAATTCAGAGTTAAAACCATGCAGCGTGAACTGGGAATTTATCAGGAAGAACATGCAAACTCCAGACAGAAAAACCTCCTGGTCCAGCCACGACTTGGACGATAAAGTCTAAAAAGGATACATGGCTGGGTTTAGGATTTGGGTGGAGGTAGACATTAATAAAATACAATTATTGGGAAATTCAATAAATAATATAAATAATTTTGTTTAACTTCTGGTCGCAACCATATCTAATCTAGTTACAACTGACTTGTACTCGGTACCTTCTTGCCGTTAGGCAACAATACTAGCTACTGAAACACCATGTCAGCCAATAATCGAATGCTTGCATGCTACAGTGACAATTTTTTACTACGTAAATCACAGATTTTGCAAAGAGATTCAAAAAATACTATAATTTATGACTCTTGCATGAAATAATCCAAATATATGTATTTGAGTTATAACTTGTGGTGAGAGATGGCACACAGACCCTTGAAGGCCAGAAGAGGTGCTGAAAGTTGTTGCAATGCACATGCATTGAAGGCCTGTTTAAAAAGTATACTTTAAATGGCTGTGTTTGACTGTGAGCAATGTCTACTTAAAACTTCAGTTTTAGTTCAGTATACATCGCAAGAGATGCAAATTAAGAGACCATACACAAGAGGAATAATACAGTTTTTGAACTCAGTTTACAAGGTGTCAACACTGAATCAGCCATTGTTTCAGTCTAAAACAAAACATAAGAACAAGTACAAACTCCTAAGAATGTAAAAATAGTAGACACAACTTTGAGCACTTGTATGAGGTGATTACAATCTATTTTAATCAGATACAAACATATTTTTGTAGCTCAAAACATGTAGAGGGAAGAATGAATCAAAGAAATGAAGTGAATGTATAATTTAACTGAACTGTATGTGTACATTAAAAATTATACTTTGGACAAATAATTATCAGAACTCGTTAGTTAGTGTCTGATAAATAATTACTACTCTCTCTCTCTCTCTCTAACGTGTATATATATATATGTATGTATATAACTGCTACTACTGAGTCTTGAAGGTCTATCTTTTGGGTTTACACATATACAGATATAAGCACTAGCCTAATACAATACAAGTCAGACGTGAACCTGTAAAAAACACCTATTTGAATACACAGGCTACTTGTCCAGACATATCTAAACCACAGATCTATTTCCACAGAGTTTAATGGAAAAACTATATCAGTTTGTTTTGGGATTGTGGTCACCAGCAAAGAACAACTATTGTTGAGACTATCACTAATGCATTACTTTGTTAAAACTTAAAGTCATAAAACGGAAACTAGTTAGATTTAAGGGGGAAATGTGAAAGGGGCTTGCCATACAACGCCGCCTCCTCATCCTCCACCTCCTACTCTACTCGTGTCTCATCTACAGTTTAAAAACAAATATGATAAACTCGAGAACTGCGACTTAACCGTGATGAAAACTGCACGGAGGAAATCTAGCAGACACCGTCTTTTGTCATAAGTAAAAGCGGCTAAATTAAGCGAGTGCGAAACTTCAGGAGAGAGCGAGAGGAAACGGCTCACTAACCGCCACACCATGACATCACCGTGTTTAACAGTTTTAAAAAGCGAACAAACAACTCGAATAGTCACTTAAACATGCATGTCAGAGCAACGAGGAAGTGTAAAAGTTAATAAAAGCGTCACTGCCGAGTAAAATCCTCAAGTGCAGCGATTAGTCTCTGTTTGCTAAAAGCCCGTTACGTGCGGAGCAATTGTAATATTTATTATGGTCGTAAGACTGGCACTACCTTAGATACGATTGACGTAAGTTCTATAAAACAACAGTAACAATAGGGTCAGTGCTTTAGAAGTGACATCTTTCTCCTCCAATCGGATCCTGCGGCGTCGTGTAAGCATCCAATCAGAGAAAAGAGGCTGACTGCGTTTTACGTTGCATGTGGCTGTGTCACGTGTAGTTGTAGGATCTGTGGAAGAGGTGTGGTGCTGAACATGAGTTGTTTTGCTGGGACTTACAGAGAATTTGTATTACAACCGCTTTACAGCAGGTAAAAAGCGACACGCAGGACATCAAAGGAATTACATAAAAAACAGTTAAAACAATGCAAAACTGCGTAGAAAGGTTTATACAAGAATCAGTGATTCAGTTTCTTTTATTTGTGTGTGGTTATGTTTGGACTTTGTTGTTAGTAAACGGTGAGTGTCTTCACTTTCATAAATGTCTTATCCACTGGGTTTGTTACAATACTGTGACAGGACAATCAGGTAGGCTACATACTTGTTTTAAGCACACTGAGCTTCAAAAATTGTACCTGTACAGTGTACACAAATCTTGATGTATAAAACAAATATAAAACAATCTCTGATTTATACCGCTGTAAAAACTGGCAGCAATTTAGATTTCATAGTAAACATGTTTGTAGCATGAATACAATTTGATATTTTTACAGAATATTAAAATGTTAAGATAAAACTAACAAGTAGTTTCCTTGCTTATTCTTCCTGAGAATTAATAGGTTATAACGATCAATAATCTCCATATTGATATAGTACATTAATTAAAACAATTAGTTAAAAAAAATATTCTTGTAAGTGATTGTGAACAGATGTTTGTTAATGTGATTATTTAGAATACTTTTATTTCACAATTAACACACAAAGTCTATCAAAAGTTTGAATATAATAATAATAATATTTATTAATAATTAATTCATTCATTTTTCTTCAGCTTAGTCCCTTTATTAATCTGGGGTTGCCACCGCAGAATGAACCGCCAACTTATCCAGCATATGTTTTACACAGATGCCCTTCCAGCTGCAACCCAGTAATGGGAAACATTCATACACACTCATTCACACACACTACTGTCAATTTTATTCATTGATACATTTTCTTTTCGGCTTTGTCCCATTATTAATCTGGGGTCTCCACAGCGGAATCAACCGCCAACTTACCTAGAATAAATTTTACACTGTGGATGCCCTTCCAGCTGCAACCTGGTACTAGGAAACCTACAAGAACACTGGGTGAACATGCAATTTACCCAGCTTACCCAGCTGGGACTCCACCCAGCGACCTTCTTGCTGCAAGGCGACAGTGCTAACCACTGAGCCACCATGTCGCCCCTTTATTAATAATTATATTGCTAATATGATTGAAAAGGTCTCTTGCTCTCCACGTATGATTGTTTATGATTGTCAATGATACAACATAAATAATGTAAAATTAAATTTTTACTTTAAAATGACTACTTTGCTTACTTGTGATTATAGTTTCAGATATCATTCCAATATGCTGATTGGCTGATTATGTTCAATTAATATTGGAGTACAATCATTTATATATGTAGCCACTGTCACCTTTTGATTTTTTGATTGTGTCCTTGATTAATATGAGTACTATTTATTTAGTTCCATTATTGAATTTTTATATAAAAATAAAAAAGAAATATAAAAGTTAGTAATCCATGATGAAATCCCTGATTATGTGTACTTCATGACTTCACATTTTTTCACTTTCTATTTGAAGCCTTGTAAAGCTGGAGCTGTACATAAAAATAGTCCCATCAGGGCTGGGCACATACTCCGGATCCCCTGTGCAAACACCCATTGGCACCAGAACCCTAACAAACCGCACTGAACACCAGCCACCTGTGGTCTACATATTAGCCGGAAAGTAACACATGTAGCTTTTTTCTTCCATCCAACTGAGTGAGTAACCAACTGTAAATTATTTTATTTAGCTGTTTTTAGATAATAATAATAATAATAATATAATTACAAAATTATATATATATATATAATTTACTTTGATTATGTGAAAAAATGAATTGCTAGTAAAACAGCCCACAATCCGAATGAGCTGTCCATTATTATGTTGTACATTAGTATAAATTATATTATATTAAATATTATTTTTTTAGGTATTTTGTTTAGAAATTATAAAAAATAGATTAATGTGTAATTTCAGCATTAACAAACAAAACCTTTCATTATAATGAGTTTTAACAAATTTTCAAAATGGTAAAAAAAACGTTTGAGATTTAAAATGCATAAGTAAAGGACCTTAAAATGTAAAAAGATGTTGTTGATTAATAATAGATAGATGTTAAGCTGTTGCCTTCTTTGCTTGCGCTAGCCTATTACTTACTTATCACAATCGGTCAGGTCATGTGTCAATAATTCATACACAATCCCCTCCATCTCTGTGAAGTTGTGTGTCTCTCACCTGTCTGTAGAGATGATCGATCCCCTTCACAGAACCTGCTGCTCAGGCCTTCCCCAGGTGTGCCACTATTACTTTCTTAATTCCCTTCAATCAAATTAATTCTCTCTTCTCTTCTTCCTCCTCCACGTTCTCTCTATCTCTCTTGTGCTTTCTGTCTCTCTTTGCTTTCCTCAAAGCCAGACCAGCTGGCTTTGGACGGCTTTCTTCTTGCCCCTGTGAGGCCTGACTTCACACTCTCGTCCCTGGGTCTTTCTGCCGGAAGGGAGCTGGGCGACAGAAGTTTGAAGGGTAGGATCCCAGATGGACGCTGACACGCTGGGCATGCGTGTATGTGACAGGGCTTGGCTCAGGGGAGTGGTGGACCAGCCGCAGCTGTCACTCACAAATACTGAGTGTGTTAGATGTGTTTTGTCTTATTAGTATTGATAAAAGTGCAAAATTGTGCTGATCGGAGAACAACAATGGCTGACTATTCACAAGAGAAAGGGACGATATAAGGAATGATGCCCTGTTGGTTTGCTTTCTCATTGTAAAACTTTGCCAGCGATGGCACCAGTATTTTCAAGTGTAATTTTAATTGCCAGTAGAAGTCATGTTACATTAGCCACCAACATTTGAGGATGATTTCAAATCATACTGTAAGTTGCCATGAAGCTTCGCATTGAACATTTTCTTGGATAACCAAACGCAATCTTAGAATCATAACTGTCAGTTTGAAAACCTTGCCCCACTATACTTTTGATACCTTTTGGACATAGAAGGACCACTACACCTCTACTCAAATATGCCATGGAGGGGTATGCACATTTTTAGAAATAATGATGCATAATGATTGTTTGGAAACATGGGTTTACAGATCCCAATGTAAATGGGAGGATTTCCATGTTATCACAATGGCATTGATAATGTACTGTAGGGAAAATAAATAATTAATGACTTAGTAGAAAACCTACGTCGTTTGTGCATTATTTTCTAATAATTAAAGAGTTTTAGCTTTCGGCACCATAGAGAAGTTTATGGTTTGATGGTGTTTATGCTATGTCAGTGACAATCATAAGGCTTTTCAAACCAGACTTGACGCAACAGAAACCTTTAAGTACTAGCCATTCAGAAGCGCAGAATAGTGCACTGCACTCCCAACAAAATGTTAATATTTAAAATCTAATTAATACATATTAAACATCTTTTTTATTAAAAGTACATGCTGAGTGACTGATATTTGTCACTGTTTTAATGCTTTTTTTTAACTTACAACCCCAAATCAGAAAAAGTGCATACAAGCACTTGCATACAAGACAATGCAAAATCACATTCTGCACACATTACAAAGTCCTGGCTGCGGAAGATACAGGTACTTGACTGGCCTGCCTGCAGTCCTGACCTGTCTCCAATAGAGAATGTGTGGCACATTTTGAAGTGCAAAATGTGACAACCAAGACCCCATACTGTTGCCCACGTTAAGACTTGTTTGCAAGACGAAGAAGACAAAATTACACCTGAAACACTTTATCATTTGGTGTCTTCAGTCCCTAAATGCTTTTAAGTGCTGTGAAAAGGAATGGCAACATCACAAAATGGTGTATGCTGTTCTGTTCCAACATTTTTAAAATGTGTTGCAAGAACCTAAATTGGAATACTTGCTTATTTGGAAAAACAAAACAATAAAAACCATGAGGAAGGCATAAAATAATGTTTGTTGTATTGTCTGCAATGAAATAGTAAAAGTAAATTTAGAAATCACTATTTCCTTTTTTATTTGCTTTTTCCATACTGTCCCAACTTTTTCTGATTAGGGGTTGTAGTTATTTTATTTTCAAGATCTGGGGTAAATTATCTGCTTCCACTTTTAGTATGGCAAAATATTTCACGTAAATTGGTTTTCAAACTCTCATTAGTAGCATTTAACCCTGGATATAGCACATAATCAGCACCTGAGGTCATGTCATAGTACAGTAGTTTAATCACAGTGTCACACAAATAGAAACTTCATGCTTCACTGTTGCAGATAGTTCAGACAAAAACTAAGATTGAAAAGATGCCTTTTATCTTGTTACACACAAACATGTCATATGTAGTTCAAGGTGTAAACACGTTACAGTCCCTGTGAAGCTGATACTTGATTTCTATTAGCTCATCTACAGTTGAGAGGAGGAGCTTACTAATAGGTTCCCAATTAATGCACATGAATAGTTTCACAAAGGTAGATTATGGTGTATTCATTCATTCATTCCACTTATTAATCCGGGGTCGCCACAGCAGAATGAACCGCCAACTTATCCAGCACATTTTTACAGCGGATGCTCTTCCAGCCGCAGCCCATCTCTGGGAAACATCCACACACTCGTTCATACACACACTCATACACTATGGACAATTTAGCCTACCCAATGCATCTGTACCACGTTTTTGGACTGTGGGGGAAACCGGAGCACCCGGAGGAAACCCACACGAACGCAGGGAGAACATGCAAACTCCACACAGAAACGCCAACTGAGCTGAGCCGAGGTTCGAACCAGCGACCTTTTTGCTGTGAGGCAACAGCACTACCTACTGCGCCACTGCGTATGGTGCAATTTAATGATATTTTTTAGTAAGTTGTAAGTTTATTTGAAAAAAAATATCTAGCAGTGGCGCAGTAGGTAGCGTTGTCGCCTCATAGCAAGAAGGTCGCTGGTTCGAGCCTTGACTGGGTCTGTAGGCGTTTCTGTATGGAGTTTCCATGTTCTCGCTGCGTTCACGTAAGTTTCCTCCAGGTACTGCGGTTTCCCCCATAGTCTAAAGACATGCGGTACAGGTGAATTGGGTAGGCTAAATTGTCCATAGTGTCTGTGTGTGGATGTTTCCCAGTGATAGTGGTTGCAGCTGGAAGGGCATCTGCTGCGTAAAAACATGCTGGATAAGTTGGCGGTCATTCTGCTGTGGCGACCCCGGATTACTAAAGGGACTAAGCTGAAAAGAAAATGACTTTCTACTTTCTACTTCAAAAATTCATAAAGTTTTGCATTCAACAGCCGAATGTTTTATGCCAGCTGAAGTTAAGGTTTTGTATTGATAGGTCATAAAGACCCAGAGAATTGCAGTGTGGCTTATAAACCTTGCTCAAATAGAAGACAGCTGACATTTTCAGCATTGTACCAGACCACAAATAGCTTCAGACTGCTTAGATACTATGCCACCAATTAAAGGATCTTATAATATCACTCATAGAATAGACTATTAGAGCACCAAGTTAAGAGTTAGAATTCTGACTGAACTTTCCTGGAATCTAGTTTTTGACAACAGACTCATTGGACTAATAAACATATCAAAGGTCATCGATTTGACGTTATATTCTTGATTAAAATTCAATTGCAACTTGGACTAGCTAAAATAAACCAACATCTCCCTCACTTTCCACAGTTCTCGAACGATTCACAGCAAAATTTTCATTTGTAAACACAATTTAAGTATGTTTTCACAAACAGACACTCACACACACAAAGAAAAAATCTTTAAAAAATTAACAAATCTTTCAATCCACCAGAATTTAACTAAGCAAATACATAAGAGCATTCTATTGAAAAATTACTGCATAGATGATAGTGTTTCAACTTTTAAGAAGTTATTTACTGTAATCCTAACTGATTCAAAGAGTAGCTTCTCATTTCTTGAACAACCATGTCAGAAGACACATCCTGTGGTCATGGAAAAGATGCTAATCTTTTTCAGAATGCCAAATTACTGGCATGGATCAAGCAAAGAATATATCAAGTAGATTGCTGAAACTGCTAAAACTGGATTAAGAACCATCCAAAATGTTAAGGATATTGGAGAACCATATTGGCATATCAGGGTGTGCTGACAGCAAAAGATTTGACTGTATCTCACCACATCCCATTCAATTCATGTTTATTTCTATAGCACTTTTACAATGTAGATTGTGCCAAAGCAGCTTAACATAGAAGTTCTAGTTAATTGAAACTTTCAGTCCAATTTCAGAGTTAAAGTTTAATTTAGTTAATTTCAGTTTGGTTTATTTTTCATAGCTGAAAGTCTAAACACTGTAGAGCAAATCCATCGATGCGCAAAACAATAAAACTTAAGCAATCCCTATTGTACTAAGTGAAAGCGCTTTTGTTGCATCTTCAATGACTTAACTGTGCTAAGGCCCGGAAGGTAAAATGCAATGTGATTGAGGGCTGCCGGGGGAGAGGGGAAGGGAGACAATTACACCCTGGCATGGTTCAATGCAACCATGCCTAGTGTGAGTACACACTCAGTGGAAGAGAGGCGAATGAATTTGAATTTTTTAGGTCATGTATCATGCCTAGTGCCTACCATAAAAGCTTGTGAGGATGCAGATCAGGTCAGGTCTAGGTCCAGCAACATTATATACCCAAAGGTCAGCTGAATACCTGAATTTACTAAATGGCCAGGTTATTCCATCAATATCCATATTTCATCAATTTGTTTTCCCTGGTGGCATTGACATATTCCAGCAAGACACTGCAAGGATTCATCATGCTTAAATTGTGAAAGAGTACTGTAGTTCAAGAAGCATAATGAGACACAATTTTACACATGGATTGGCCACCACAGAGTCCAGACTGTAACCTGATTGAAAATCTTTGGGATATTTCGGAGAAGACTTTGCACAGTGGTCTCAATCCTGGATTATAGGTACAAGATCTTGGTGAAAATGTTATGCAAATCTGGATGGGAATAAATGTAGCTAAGCATATGCAAATGAAACAATGCCAGAGCAAATACATACCATAATCAAAGATAAAGGTGATCAAGCTTAATATTTGTGTGTGAGACTTTTTATGAAGTCAGTGAAGTCAAAGTAGAAGAATTTCAATAAATTCAATTCATGTTTACTTCTATAGTGCTTTTACAATGTAGATTGTGTCAAAGCAGCTTAACATAGAAGTTTTAGTAAATTGAAACAGTATACAGTAGTTCAGTTTTCAGATTTGAAGTTCAGAAATTTAGTTAAGTTCAGTGTGGTTTAAATGTCATTGCTGAATGTTCAAACACTGAAGAGCAAATCTATCGATGTCAGCTCCACAGGTCCCAACCAAGCAAGCCAGTGGCAACTGTGGCCAAGAACAAACTTACCAATTGACAAAAGTTATGGGAAATAAAACCATGAGAGAAACCAGTATCTGTTGCGGGCATGACCATTTCTCCTCTGGCCAAACTTGTGCAGAACTGCAGTCGAGGTGCCGGAGGCTGGAGATTGCTGGATGTCCATCGTGGACAACTGCAGGTGTGAGTAGGTAACCGGCGGGTGTTGAGGCTGGCCCACGGGATTAATGCAGAGACGCGTCTGTCACTGTGGTCTTTCAGGAATCAGTCTCATGCTCTCTGCTCCTCCATGACCACCACAGCATCAGCTCAGGATATGGCCTGGTCCAGGATTATGGATAACGTGGCATCATTTTTAGATTGTATCAATGGCACTGCATAATCTCTAGGGCCTCGGAATAAGTATCTTCATGTGGAAAGAACTAAGTACACTTTTTTTATACCACATTTATAAATTTAAAATTATATACAATTCTGTTAGGCCACATTTCAGTATTGTTAATGAACATAAGTTATTATGAATATATATAAATCATAATATGTGAGCATATAATCAATAAAAACTGTAATATGAGTTTTCTATTTAACAAGTAACACAATCTAATTACACATACGTTTTTTTTTGGAATCTGATTACATAAGTTTTACTTGTAACAGATGCATTGCTCACTGTTAATCCACCTAAGGTATTGCATAAATGGACCTTACAGTAATAATACCAAAAATGGTGTAAAATGGTAGTTCATTATTAGTTCATGATGCCTAATGAATTAAATAATGCTAATTAACCTAGCCAAACTAATAAAAGCTATTCCTTAAAGTCAAAAGTGAACTGTGCCCAGCCTTGTGGAAATGACTCAAAAGACAGAACCTTAAGG